CTCACCGTTACTACAGCATTAAAAAATTATAGTAAGCAGTATAAAATTACAATTTATTATGGGGGGCCTTTCTCAATAATCTTTAAAAACATAAAGGGCATACCTCTTGCAGAATTCTATGTATGACTTATTTTTGTGTCACATTTCCCTCCCCCCCCTTTCTTTTGTTTTTTAAGCACTAATCTGGTATGGAATCCGCTGGACAGAGCAAAGCTGGGTGGGCCCCTCCTTGAATGATGGAGTAAGTCTGCTTGGGCAGTTCTTGCTGAGAGGAGGAAAATATAGGTGGGGCCGCGGAGGCCACCGCGATGTTCTGGCCCCCGTCGCTCACCACAGTCACCTCGGCCGTCCCCTCCTGAATGAGAGCGTTAAGGCCTTCGAAGTCCGTGCAGGTGATACCGGAACTGGTGATAAAAGTCTGGTTGCCAGCGCCTTCCTGGGGGCCGCCTGGGGCCGTGGGGATGAGAGTCTGGTGCAGAGTGGCTCCCTCCGTCTGGTCGTGCGTGGTCAGCAGGACAGTCGGCTGGGTCAGGGCACCCGCCTCGCTGGGACACCCCGAGGGCTGGGGAGGGGCGATCAGATTGACCTGGCGCAAGATCTGCAGCCGGCTGTTCCCGGGCAGTTCCTCCGGGTTCTGGGCCACCAAGGTGGATGGCACAATGTTCACGGCGGCGGCCGCAGCCTGGACAATGGTGTTCGCCTGGGGCACCTGATGCCCCACGATGATTTTGACTCTCCCCTCGCTGAACTGGGGCACCTGGCTGGGCTGCAGGGGCACCTGGAGGTGGCCCACGGTGAGGGGCGCGGCCTGCTGCTTGCTGGGTTCGATCTGAAACTGGAGGACGGTCACGTCCGAGTTCTTGCTCTCACTGTACTCACTGTGCTGCCTCTTGTGGCTGCGGAGCGAGTCCTCCCGCATGAACGAGGCGTCGCAAATGTCACAGTGGAAAGTCTTCTTGGCGTCCAGCTTGGCCACCTGCCGGCTGCTCTGGCGGCCGGTGTCCTTCCTCTCCGAGGCCTCGTTCTTGACCATGTCCCCGTGGAACTTCTTCATGTGCTTGCTCAGGTTGCTGGGCTGCTTGGTGTCGAAGCTGCAGAAATTGCACTTGAAGGGGCGGTCCGTGCAGTGGATGCGCTCGTGGATGCGCAGCGCGGCCTTGCTGGAGCAGGAGTAGCTGCACTCCGCGCACTTCTCGGGGTGCTCGGACTGGTGCACCCGGCTGTGCTTCCGGAGGGTGGCTTTGCTGTCCCCCAGGAAGTCGCAGTGCGGACACTTGAAGTTATTCCCGCTGTGCTTGATGCGGATGTGGGACTTGAGGTTTCCCTTCATGGTGCAGCGGACATTGCAGAACTCGCACTTGAAAGGCTTCTCCCCCGAGTGCACGCGCATGTGCCTTTTCAAGTCCGAGCTGATTTTGAACTTGGCGCTACAGAGCCAGCACTGGAAGGGGGCGTCCCCTGTCAACACAAGGTGAGTTTCCATGAGAACAGGCAGGCAACAACCACAGCGGATCCCCCCGAAGCACACACCAGAAAATCGCTTACACCAAGGCAGGCGGGTGGAGACCTTCTAACTGCAGCTCCTAGCAGCCCCTGGGAGAAAAAAAAAGGGGGGTGCGGGGGTGGGGGACTTGACTTCTTTCCCCAAACCTAAGCCACCGCCACAGGCTTGGTGCACCACCACCGTGACAAAACCCAGGAGAAAAACTGAGACGGAAAAGAGCTCTTTAATCGTCCCAAATAAAATGTGTGGATATCCTTAGCAAGGTCTTTAAAACAATCGAGCTATGGTTCCTAGATTAATGTGACCACTCGGCTAGTTCGTGGCTCACCATTCTGCGTAATCCGCTGATTTTGACTGAGTTACATGCTGTAACAGATTGAAGGACACATTTTCGAATCGGTCATCTCCGTGCTCACTCATCAGAACATTCTCTTTACAATGATTGAAACGCCCAGCTTACACTTCAGGCAGATTTTTATTAATAAAGACGTGTTTATTGCGCAAACTTTATCCCACATTGCCAGCTGCGTTCTTTACTGGTGAAGTTACAAAATCCAGCGGCTTGACCTTTTATTTTTAAATTCATATTCGCTGAAAGATGAGCAGAGACCGTGATATTCCAAACTGATTTTGTCAACGAATGCCAAGTCCAGTGTATCTAAGGCATACGGGTGACCCCGCCCATTTCAATTATTGTGTAATTAAGCAAAACCACAGCCGCTAACATTCTTCACGGTGGCTTCCGGGATGGCAGGCGCTCTGCTGAACACTCCACAAGAATGGTCTCACCAGATGCTCCCAACAGTCCCCGGAGATAGGTGCTATTAGCAACATTATTATTATTAACACTACTGTACACAGGAGATTGAGGCCTACAGAGACTACGGATCTTGTTCACGGTCACCCAGGTGTAGTAGCAGGGCTCGGATTCCAACCCAGGCTGACTCCAGAGCTGGTATTCTTAGATGCCAGGCAATTATCAGCACCTATGGCCGATGTTCACTCTCTTAGGTCATAAGCTCAAAAGACTAAGGCTGTGTTCTGGCTTTCTGGTATAAGGCCTAACACATCACCATGAGCTGCTTACTACATGCAATTAAAGATGACAGGGAGAAAAAAATAGCAAGCTTCAAGAAAAGTGGGAAGCCCAGACCTAAGCAGTGCTTTATGTATGACTCAATACCACTAAGACCATGCACGCTAAATTCTACGGCCAAATCTGGCCCACAGCCTGTGTTTGCAAATGAAGTTTTCTTGGTATACAGCCCATTTGTTTATGTGTTGTTTATGGTCACTTTCAAGGCAGAGGTGAGTGACTGTGACAGAGGCTATATGGCCAGCAAAGCCTAAAATATTTAGGCTTTATATCTGGCCCTTTATAGAAAAAGTTTGCTGACCCCCTTTTTATACCATTGACCCCTTTTTCCCAGTTCAGTGAAACCCATGGGCCCTTTGTCAGAATAATGCCTAAACAGACAAAGGAAAGTAAAAATTAATAGGAACACAAAAGAAACTGATTACATTGAAATAGTTATTAAAAATTTTAAAGAAAAAAATCTGTTATATGGCAATGTGTGTGTTTTATCAATGTATTAAATAATAATATCCAACGGCGGGTCCAGTAGCTACAACCATTTCTAAGTAGAGAAGAGCATTAAAGAAATTCTGATCTACCTGCAACAACTGTTAGCAAAAGATCTGTGGTTTCTACTGGCAACAAGTTCCATGCACTGTGATCAGATTGGTTGCCAATTTTTGTAATTGAAGGTCACATCGGATTTCAGTACAGGTTAGTGAAAATGAAGATGTGTGAATTTTCCGTGCCCCATTTGGTGGACCTGAATTCTATTTACGGATCCTGGGTAGAGGTGTCTGTGGGCTCAGAATAAGAACCTCTGCTCTGGAAGGTTTTACGAGGTCTTCCCGTTACACCCCTGCCCAAATTAGTGACAAATCTTTCTGCCTTTTTTAAAAGCAATCATCAGGGGTGAAACCCAGAAAAAGCAGATAACCAAATCTCACAGAGCTTAACAACACTTTTGACATGGAAGTCAAAGTTTTAAATCCCTTGGTCACCTTCTTTTTCCCCTTTAACCACAGATTTATTTCTTAAACGAGGTGTGCTAGTCAGTGACAGTCCCACCGGACCATGAGTTCTGAAAGGCAAATGACTGCATTCGTTCCTGCCCACTACCTCACCCCGGGTCCAGCGTGCAGTGGGGACTTAATGGATGTTGCCTAGTGAATAAGTGACCAATACATTTAAGTGGACAGATCTTTCTTTTCATGTTTTATTTTTTATTTTTATTATTGATTTCAGAGAGAGGAAGGGAGAGGGAGAGATAGAAACATCAATGATGAAAGAGAGTCACTGATCGGCTGCCTCCTGTATGCCTCTCACTGGGGCTCAAGCCCGCAACCTGGGCATGTGCCCTGACCGGGAATTGAACCCGTGACCTCTTGGTTCATAGGGCGATGCTCAACCACTGAGCCATGCCGACTGGGCAGGACAGATCTTTCTTGAGTTTAGGTGGCTCCTAAGATGACTGACAATGTAGTTGGTCAAAGCAAAGGAAGGGTAACAAACACTCCACGGACACATTGCATAAATGGAACACATTCGAATTTTTAGAAAATACACCTTTTCTGGACCAATTTAAAGATGCTACTATAAATGGCAAGTTTATCGTTATAAGTCAAGATGATTCCGAACTATTTCCAAGAATGAATCCTTTAGCTCCTCAAACTTAGGTTGGAGAGATTTCTGAAGATCAGTTGGGCATCAGTGATGCCAATGTCTTAACTACAGGTCCCAAAAATATCCCCAGATCTCCCTGTAGCCACGACCTCTGTCATGTATGTCATCACCCATGCTCTCCTGGCCAGGGCAGGATGACCTGCTGTGACCTCAGACAACAGGACCCCTCATGTCATCTGATTTAGCTGAGGGAATGCTCCGGAGGCCTGACACAGTAATGGCTTGAAACGGGCTGTGCACTGGGATCTGCTGGCTTGCACGCCTGTCCTCCATCACCACGAGAAAGCCAAGCCTGGCCTCACCTGCTGGTCCTGGGAGGAGGACAGGGACACGGAGCAGAGCTAAGGTACTGCGGTGAAGCCTGGTGCACAGCCGGGCACGGCCAGCAGGGTCTCAGACCTGTAAGTGACCCCAGCCAAGATGCGCAGGGCTGCCCAGACGACACCCAGCTGATCCCCAACACGGCATGCTGTAGTCACTGAGGTCTCCCGGGGGTTTTTGTTACACTGCATTATTGCACAATAGATAATTGATAACTAGAGAACAGATAACTGATACAGGTATAAGTATTGAGAAATGGAGCACTGCCACACCAGAAAAGTAAGTTATGTAGCACTGGCTTTCAGGCTGGTTGGCAGGTAGAGGCCGCCTGTATGCTACGTAACGGCAAACATTTGGTAAAACTGTCACCTGCGGTAACTTAAAGACAGAAAATGCACCTACTGAATTGTGGACTTGACCGAAGAGATGAATTCTAGGCAAAACACGGCAAGTGTCTCACAAGCTGCACATGATATGCTACCACAAGAGAGAGGCAAACTCCAAGAAGGACTGGCTGTTCTCAGAACGGAACTCAGAGAGAATACTGAAAATCAAAGATGTGCTGGGTTGGATGAAGATTCTCATCTCCAGCCAGCAAAAGGTTTTCGAAGTAAGAAAGCAGCCTGTGGACAAAGATCCTATCCAGGGAGGTGATCTCGGGGCGGGAGGTGGGGACGGAATGAGAAATGAAGGCTGTGAATGTAAGCCTCTGTTAAAATCTCCAAAAGAGTGAAGTTGGTGCCAAGCAGATTCTCTCAGCTGAACAAGGATTCCTGGAAGTCGTGAGGGATTCAACCCACGGAAGATGGTCATATGCCAAAGGCCTGTACTTGGGTTCAGAGGAAAGGCAAGTCTCGGAAAGAACTGTGGGTGTGGCCTTTGGCACGTAGATACACAGGAGATGCAGTTTTTATACAGCTCTACCAGCAAAGCTGTCACCCAGTTAGACTAAAAATCTAAAAAGGCGCCCAACCTTTCAAACAGCAAGGTTACTGCAATTGTCCTGGCTGTGTACACTGGGAGTGTGGGGGACAGTGTCTTTTTACTGCAAAGGTGCCTAGATCCAAAGGACCCATATCGCCAGACTTGAAGGCGATCACGAGATCCTGTGATTGGATGTGACTTGTAGAGGGCTTGGGAGGGTGTGAATGCGTTTGTATGTCGGAAAGATGTGAATGACGGTGGGGTGGACTGTTGATTGCAAAAATGGAATCAATTCTTTATTCCTCCTCGTAAGTCCCTGTCTTTTGCCGTGTAACCTTGTGGTGAGCTCCTTCTGTGGGTGAACTCAGCCCCAACTCTTGACATTTGCTTTAGCCAATAGAATTTGCTTTAGCCAATGGGATACAAATACAGATATGAAATGGGGTGACACACTGGGGCATGCTTGCTTGTATTACTGCCACTGTCATGAGAAGGACAAGCCTGGGGTAGCCCACTGGTCCCAGAAGGAAAATGAAGGATATGGGAGTAGTGCCAGACTGCCCCAGCCAAGGTCCGTGGACACCCAGCCTTTCCCACACATGTGATTAAGACCAGCCAACATCAACAGAGTTGTCTAGCCAACCCCCTAATGACCTGAAGTATGTGAGCAATAAATACTTGGTATGATATGCCACTGAGGGTTTGTGATGGTTGTTACACAGCATCATTGTATCAAAAGCTAACTGATACACTTGCCAAAAGGAAAACATACATAATTTGTTAAATGACCTACTCTGCTGAGTTTTCCCATTAAGCTGTACCACACTGAGCTAATCAGAGTATACTTTAAAACGGAGTGAAATGACTAACCAACCATTATGCAGAAACATATTAAAAATGCATCACTTATGTATCTGTTTCATTTAGCACATCTCAATTAAATTACTAGTGAATAAGTTATAAAGTTACTATGTATATATAGTAACTTTATAACTATATATATATATATATAGTAACTTTATAACTTATTCACTAGTAATTTAATTTATAACTATATATATATAGTTATAAATTGGATGTTTTCCCCTATTTTACTGAGAAAGGCACTTCTGGGCAGATGAAAAGCAAAGCTGCATAGAAGGGACCGCCAAACGCCCCCACTTCATTTACTTCTGTGTGATTGAATGCTTTGGGCGAGTATGACTGAAGCGACAGGAAGGCGGGAGCACGGAGGGAGAGCGCCAGGAGAGACCTACCTGTGTGGGACCGCAGGTGGACGGTGAGCTGGCTGGAGTTGCGGCTGGCGTAGGGGCAGATCTGGCACTTGAAGGGCCGCTCGTCGGAGTGGATCCGCAGGTGCTTGTTGAGGCTGCTGCTGTCCGCAGCGGCGTAGTCACACGTCTTGCACTTGTAGGGCTTCACGCCTGTGTGGCACCGCATGTGGGTCTTCAGCTTGTCCTTCCGGCTGAAGCACTTGCCGCAGACTTCGCACTTGTGGGGCTTGTCTCCTTCGAACACACACAGAGGGCTTCAGGAAACAATCGTGAAAGGGCTGACCTCCCCCTGTCTTATGCAGAGTAAGACGCGATCTCCAAAGATTATTTAGAAACCCCCAAGCTGGATGGGTGGTTGGCAAAGAGCTAACAGCTTGGGAGAAAGGGGAGGTTTCCTCTAGTCTGAAGATGAATATACTATTACTGGTATTTTCTAATTTTCCCTACATGGAATGTGAATTTCTTATTTATTTATATCCTCACCTGAGGATATTTTTCCCATTGCTTTTCTGGGAGAGTGGAAAGGGGAGGAAGGGGGGGACAGAGAGAGAGAAACACAGACGTGAGACCCACTGACTGGCTGCAACCATGGGACGCGCCCCTGGCTGGAACTGAACCCGGGACCCTTGAGTCCGAGGGCCGGCGCTCTAACCACTGCGCCATGCCGGCCAGGGCGAAGTTCTTATTAAAAACAGAACGCAACTCAAATTTTTGAATTACAGCTAAGTAAACGAACGTGCTCACTGTCCCTTCTGCCATCCTCTCCTTTCTCCCTTACACGACAGGCAGGCCCTGGAACTCGGGCCCCTGCTGTCAGGAGCTCGTGGCTGACCTAGCTCTCGGCCTCACGCGCAGCAAGGGGCGCGTCTGTGACCAAGTCCCGTCAACGAAACGCAGAGAAGGTAAACGCGTCCCTTTTGTAAAAAGACACCGCGTGCTTTATACTTTTCCTGCTTCCCTTCCTTCTTGCCAGCTGTCGCCAAGACATGGGGGCGCCCGGCAGGTGTGGGGAGGCTGGGGCACGTCTCACAGGACGGAGCGGCCTCCTGCCCTGGGCCACCCGCTCCCCTCTGGTCAGTCATGCGACGGAGGCACAAAGCCGGACTCACTAGACACACGCCGCTTGTCACGCATACATTCTTTGACGTATATTTTTCCAGTCTCTTTTGTACCTGGGTGGTCCTCTCTGAAAGTAACTTTTTTTTTTTGGTACCAAAAAACCCCTCTTGGCTGACATGAATTTAAACACCTCCTTTTCGAAAGGCGCTATGCCTCGGAGTGGCTTCATTTGACTCTCTCAACAACTCGGGTTGGAATCCGGGACTGCTCTGCCCTCAGCCGAGCGCAACCCCGCCTCCCTGNGAGCGCAACCCCGCCTCCCCACGACCACATCTTTTCGCCTCATCGGTGCCCGCGACGGGGTTGCAGGGCTGCAGCAGCCCTGGGGCCCTCGCCCGCCCGCGGGGATTGAGCCAGGCAGGTACACGCTGCCTGGGAAGGCGCCAGCAGGGAGGGGACGCGCACGCCGCAGGGAGAGCAGGGTTAGCCAGAAGGCCGAGAGGCGATAGTATATATAATATTAACTTGGTAAGAGACGGAAAAAGTAAATTGTGTGTGTTTTGGGGCTCGCTGAAGGCATGCCGAAATCTAGGGGACACACTAGACTAAAGACGGGTGAATCTGGGCACGCTGGCTGCGAGTCAGGATTTTCCTCTTACTTTATATATCAAATACGCATTCCGGACAAATCCTAAATAGCCAAGTGCTCACATCAACTGCTGGCCAAAGCTGATCACTCCCATCATAGAATAAACATCTGGCATTTAAGAACACACCTAAAAGTGTATTAAATATTATGATTTTATTATTAAAATGCTAATAGTCAAATTTAAAAATTCAGGAACAATAATTTCTCATCATCATCAGCTGTGAAATGGCTCCTGGGGCCCCTGTCCCATGTGTCTGCAGTGAGCAGATGCTGGTTGGCCCTGGGGCCCCTGTCCCGTGTGTCCGCAGTGAGCAGACGCTGGTTGGCCCTGGGGCCCCTGTCCCGTGTGTCTGCAGTGGGCAGACGCTGGTTGGCCCTGGGGCCCCTGTCCTGTGTGTCTGCACACTGAGCAGACGCCGGCTTCGGGCCACGTGTTCTTCCCTGAAAGTAACTCAGGTTAGGATGCCTTCGTGCAAGCTCTGCAACCTGAAGACGTTGACGGGCATCCTGCAGTTGTGTAGAAACTACCCTACTTGGCTCACCATATGCAAAAGATGCTTTCTGAAGATCTACAGACACAGAATGAAGATTGTTGCCCTTACATACATACATATATATGTATATACAATCTTTTTATTTATCTTTAGAAACAGAGAGGAAGGGGGCGAGGAGGAGAGAGAGACTGATTTGTTCCGTTTATTTACGGATTCATTGATTGATTCTTGTACGTGCCCTGACCAGGGATTAAACCCTGCAACTCTGACATATTAGGATGTTGTTCTAACCAACTGAGCTACCCAGCCAGGGCCTGTGTGTGTGTGTGTGTGTGTGTATATAAAAGATTTTTTATTGATTTTTCTAAAGGGGGGGGGAGAGAGAAAGGTTGATGTGGGAGGGAAACATCAATTGGCTGCCTCCTGCATGCCCCCCACTCAGGATCGAGCCTGCAACCCGGGCATGTGCCCTGACCGGGAATCAAAGTGGCAACCTTTAGCCCGGCCAGGCATGGCTCAGCGGTTGAGCGTCGACCTAGGATCCAGGTGATCGGGGTTCGATTCCTGGTGAGGGCACATGCCCGGGTTGTGGGCTCGATCAATGACTCTCTCATCATTGATGTTTCTCTCTCTCTCTCTCCCCCTCCTTTCCTCTCTCTGAAATCAATAAAGATACATTTAAAAAAACCCCAAAAAACCAAAGTGGCAATCTTTCGGTGCATGGGGTGATGCCCAACCAACTGATCCACACCAACCAGGGCCTTATATTTTTATAATGCTTTCCCAATCCTCATTAATAATGACAGCACTGTATTCTTGCAAGAATGAATATGTGACCTCGACTGATGGAATTCAGCATATGGAAGCCCCGTGGAGAGATTCACCGTTTCTCACGTCGAGAATGCTTACCAATACTTGCAACTTAGTACCTGAACATTCTGATAATTGGAATAAATTCAAGTGACATGTGACTGTGACATTGAGAGATAGGATAGTGGTCCCCAGTGCGATAAGGCAATCATCGGTCAGGGCCAAGGAATATCTGAAATAACTGGTCTTCCAAAGGCTGGGGCTAAAATGTTGACTTTGGGCAATTAGTGACACCGAAGCCAAACCTCGGTGTGTCCCTACCCTATACACAGTTATCGTTAAATTTATACGTCTGTATCATTGAATTACGAGCATCTCATATTTTGTTAAGAATAGTGTGAAAAAGCAATTCATTCTCCATGCAGGAAATTGGGGAGACGTAAAAATAACATATTAAAGAAAATTAAAATCACTAGAACTCCTCGCAGTTTTCTTTTTCCATGCATCAATCTTTTTCTCTCCTTTATACAAAAGTATTTATTTATTAAATCCCCCCTTCAAAACTGCATAAATAACATATTCACTGTATCCAATGAGACGGTGAAGAGATACAAAAGATACATGAAGAAAAATTACTATTCTCTATACCACCCCCCCCACGCCCACACACCTACACAAACGCCCACACGGAGACACATTTCTAGGAAAATGAGAAAAATTGGGGCATTTAAATCTTAATTAATTCTGGCAGGTTAATTTTCAAAATGACTGCAACTTATCCACCGGTTAAGTTTGCTCCTATCTGTTCCAGCCCTGGATTTTATTGCTTTGAACATTCCCTGCCAAAATCATGTGTAGGAACACCATCTTGCTCTCATTTAATTTGTGCTTGTAGTCCCCGGAGGGTCGGCGTCACATCATGTATCTGACTGGACTGGGTCCCCAGCTCTCAGCCCAGAGCATGTGCTCGGGGCGTAGGTGGCAAAGAAACGCTACTTACCTGTGTGAATTTTTAAATGACGCTCCATGTCCTTCATGCCATAGGCAGTCTTGAACTGGCAACCTTGAAGAGGCAAGGAAAGGCGAATTACAAAGGGCAACACAGTAACTCCAGAGCGGAGAAACTCGGCAGGAACTTCCTCAACCAAGTGATGCAAGTTGGCCCCACAGAACAGGACACGCAGGTGTCCCGGGCACCCCGATATGACGCACCCAGGTCACGACACCCCTCCTGTGCTTCCTGCCCACACGGCAGGACCTAAATCTAATCATGAGGAAACATCAGACAAACCCCAACTGAGGAACACTTTACAAAATAACTGGCCTGTACTTTGTAAAAAATGTCAAGGTCACGAAAGAAAAGCTCAGGATTCAATGAAAACGAAATGCAATGTGTGACCCTAAATTGGATCCAGGACCAGGGGAAAATGTTTTTCTTCCGACATAGATGCAATTGTTAAAAGCTTAATAAGGTCAGTAATTTGTGTGTGTAAATGTTAATTTCCTGATTTTGATGATTGTACTGCGGTTATAGAAAAGAACTTCCTTGTTTCTGGGAAATACACATTAAGGCATTGAGGGGCAAGGGATAGCGTGTCTGCAACTTACTCTAAAATGGTTTGAGGGGAAAATAAATATATACAGAAAAATAACAAAGCACACATAATATGGAGACATTTGGGAAATCTAGATGAAGGTAATACAGACATTCTTTGAACAATTTTTGTAACCTTTCTGTAATTCTGAGATTATTTCCCAATACAAAGGTTTTGTGGTTTTGTTTTTTAAGAACAATCTTTCTCATGTCTTTCTAAGCTACAGCACAACATGAAAAATTCACAGTAACCTGAGATTCTCACAAGTCGCATTTCAAAGTCCCATGGCTCTAAAAGTCTTAAGAGCCCACGTACACAGTGACCGGGGAGAGCGAGGGGTAGGTCGTATGTGGTGATGCAAAGACCGTGGGGCCGGGACTGGAAAGCCAGGCGGCTGGAGCCGTCGAGAGTTGCGGAGTTAGAGCCCAGGAGCCTGGGAAATGCCACATCCTTTGCACAAGTCGGACACAATGCTGCCTTTACCTGGGTAGCAACAGTTAAGCCTTTTCTGAGCAGGTGGGGCCGAGGGCTTTTTGGCACGTGACTTGGCAGGCAGAGAGATGACAGTGGCTGTCTGGTTTTCGTTGCTTTCCGTGGGCAGGTAAGTTTGATAGCCATGCTCAAAAACGAATTCTGGGGCTGAAACTAAAAGACATGATGGTTATTAATTTTCATAATATGAATATCCAATAGCTGTTCCTTTAGCCTACTGTCCTTTCTAGAGAATGAACAGGTTAGATTGCCTTCCTAGCCTCCCTAGCTGCTTAGGAGTGTTCGTGTGACCCTGTTCCAGCCAGTGAGATGCTACGGCAGGGGTGGGGAACCTTTTTTCCGCCAAGGGCCATTTGGATATTTATATCATTCGCTGGCCATATGAAATTATCAACTTAAGAATTAGCCATGAAAAAAGCTCCTCGATTTATTGAATTTCAAGTCCCACCTGCGGTTGCCTTGGCAGGGTGAGACCAAATGATTTCGCAGGCCGGACGTTCCCCACCCCTGCCCTAGAGAATATCTGCTGGGGAGTCCTGTAAAAGGTTTTCTCCGATTAAAAATAAACAAGTGGGGGTAGAAAGAGAGACGGTTGAGGAATGCTCATTCTTGCTGCCCTGGTTCCCTACTTCCTGTCTTTGGACATGCTGGAGTGAAGATGTGATGGCTGGATCTGTGGCAGCCATTCTGTAAACATAAGAGAGCAGCAAGAAAGTCAGATGTTGAGCCAGAGCTCTGAAACCATCCTAACCGAGGCTTATTAGATAAACAAGAAACATCCCTATCACTCACGCCAGGTAGGTTTTCTGTTAATTCAGCCAAACGCTTTACCACAAAATCCTAACAAACAACTGGAAAGAAACGGATTGAAGAAATTCTGGACAGAACTGCAAGTTCTCTCAAAACCACTCTTTAACACAAATACTCCTTTAAAAAAATTCTTGCACTCTCACTGAAGTTTTGAGGGGGAAAAAAAAGAGACCAAACATCTTTATCATTATAAAACAGGTAGTCTCAAATTTCTTTTTCTTTTGGCTTATAAAAATTTTTGTGACTTCTCTGTTAACTAAGTTTATGGTTTGAAGTTTGGAGATATTTCCTTCCTTTATTTATTACATGTAGTTTGCCGCATGGAGATTTGGCTTCAAATAAGGAGTAAACTTATATGACCAACAGCGGCTGAACTTCGTTGGGTGAACTTGTCAGACCAAGAGGCCCTAATGATGACTATGAAAGCCAGTCACATTCTGTTTCCCAAATTTCAGTCACCAAGGCACTACCTCCGACGCTTTTGCCACAGTATTTATTACATTTATTTAAATCAACACAGACCTAACATCATTGCCTGTATGGGCTGTGCCTGAAGCAACAATATCTATGCCGCAGGTTCGACATGCTATATTTCCTCTGAAAACAAACACCTTCATTCTTTGAACGTAAGATGTTAACAGATTTTAAGATGTACCATTATTTTATGTGTAACAGATTTTAAAGAGCTGCCAATTAAACACCTAATGATGCAATGCTTTCATATTCCTGAGAAATTTCACTTACTGAATGAGTTCTTTTAGACTTCTTCAGATATTTGGAATCTCTATCTCCTGGACGCCTTTGGCAAGAATGACATCATGCTGATGCGGGTCGGAGAAGCCCCGGGGTTCTATCAGCATCTGGTCCTTAAGTAAACTCATGGTTTCAATTTTTCTCAAGTGAAACACGCAGAGGAAAATTAAGTGGCTTTTGTTTACAGTTGGCCAACACATTCTGACAAGTTGACCTCTTTCTTCAGGCCACATCTCTCAAATGCGCTATCAACCATACCTGCCTCTTACTGACATGTTTCACCTGCTCAGCGGAATTTGGCTCTTTGCTCGTTTCCTTTGCTCTGCCTGGGCCCCAGCCAGTAGCACTGGACCTACCTAGGACCTTGCTACAAAGGCAAATTTTTTAAAAAAATGTTTTTATTGATTTCAGAGAGAGGAAGGGAGAGGGGGAGAGAGAGACAGAAATATCAATGAGAGTCATTGATCCGCTGCCTCCTGCATACCCCCTGCTGGGGATCGAGGCTGGGGACCCTGCCTGCAATGCGGGCCGGTGCCCTGACCGGGAATCGAACCACGATCTCCTGGATCACAGGTCGATGCTCAACCGCTGAGCCACGTCAGCCGGGCTACAAAGGCAAATTCTTGGGCCCCCGCCAGCCTACTGAATCAGAAACCCTGGGGTGCACCCAGGGCTCTGTGCTCTCACAATGTGCCCAGGTGAGTCCGAGTGTGAGAACCTCTGGCGCAGGTGACCCTTTTCCATGCACTTCAGCAGTAAGCCAGCCCGGCTTTGTCTCCTGTTGGGAATCCATCTTTCTTGCGGCTGCTTTGCAGGAACAGAGAGAGGGTTGTTCCTCCAGCAACACACATGTGCTTCACTGCTATCAGACTGAGCCCCTACGGCTGTTTCCAGGTATCTCTGGGTACAGTTACTTTTCATCTTCAACCTGCAACATCTTGGAAGACGTTCTAAACAGCAAATAAACTCAATACACGTAGTTCCAAAAACCACACATGACTCTGCCAAAGAGACAACAATGTGCTCGGCTGTCATCAGGTTTGTTCCCAGGTACACAGAGACCGTTTCGTTTGTGACTCCTGCTGGCTGACAGCAGTCCCATTAACTCTAAGGCGCACCCCCGTGTTGGAGACCTCGGAATGGGTCTTTGGACTGACGCGTGTCCAGGTTCAGCCTCTTACTGTGTGCGTGACCTCGGGCCAGTTGTGTAACCTCTTTGAGGCCCCGTTTCCTCCCCTGTAAGGAGAGAGAATCACTGTGCCCGCTTCATAAGGTTGTTGCAAAGTTTAATGAGAAAATCAGAAGCAAGGATGCGGCCTTGGTAGAGTCTCTAGTTGAACAGAACTGGGTGCTGGTACCAGACTCTCCACGGGAGTTTGACCAACACCCAGGGTGACCAACCGTCCATCCTTGTTTGCCTGGGACAGAGGGCTACCAGGGACATAGGACTTTCAGTGCTAAACTAGGCTGGCTGGTCATGCTATCGTGACTTCCCCACTTTCTGTTCTACAACTTTCTGAACAAAAGGAAGGCTGGAGCCCTGGCCAGTTTGGCTCAGTGGTTAGAGCATCGGCCCTCAGACTGAAGGGTCCTGGGTTCGATTTCAGCCAAGGGCACGTACCCCGGTTGCAGGCCCAATCCTCAGCCCCAGTCAGGGTACATGCAAGAGGCAACCAATAACATGTCTCACATCNGCAGGCCCAATCCTCAGCCCCAGTCAGGGTACATGCAAGAGGCAACCAATAACATGTCTCTCTCACATTNTCAGCCAAGGGCACGTACCCCGGTTGCAGGCCCAATCCTCAGCCCCAGTCAGGGTACATGCAAGAGGCAACCAATAACATGTCTCACATCGATGTTTCTCTCTCTCCCCCACACCCCTCTCCCTTCCACTCTGAAACGCAATAGAAAAAATATCCTCAGACGGTGATTTAAAAAAGAAAAAGAAAAAAAGGAAGGGGTGTGTGTGCGGGGGGGTGTTGTGGGAATGGCTAAGTCCTTCCCACAGCCCAGCGCCCGGAGTCCTCAGTCTCCCAGGGAGGTAAGTCCCAGGAGACGGGCTGGGCCCCTCCATGAGCCTCGGTGTCCCGGGATTCATGGAGAGCCGCGGCAGAGGGGCGCGTGGGAGCTTCTGGATGTCAGCCACGCCTCAATGCGGTTTGCAAACATTCTCTCCCATTCCCCGGGCTGCCTTTCCAGCCTGCTGTTTCCTTCGATGCGCAGAAGCCTGGTGCATCTGATGCAGTCCCATTTGTCCATTTTTGCCTTTGTTGTCTTGGGGAGACGGCGGGAAGCAAAGGGTGAGGCACCCAGCTGCAGGGATTGTTTTGGAGGTAGGGCTAATCACACAAAACATGTGAGTCACCCCAAAATAGATGGCTCCCGGACCGGGAAGGATTTGTTCAAGAGCTTGGGCTCTTAAGTCTTATTTCCTTGAGCCTCAGTTTCCTCACCTGAAAAATAGGGGTGATTCCCATTCCTATCTCCCCAGGCTGCTGTGAGGGTTAGAGGCCAGGCGTGGGACATCGTTACTGCAATTGTTATTATTCACTGGTTTATCCTGCAAATACTTACTAAGCACCTACTGTGTGCCTTCTGGGCACTGTTCTAGGCACTAGGAACACATCAGGGAGCCAAAGAGGCAAAAGTCCCTGCCTTCATGGAGCTGATACTCTAGTTTTGAGTGTGCAGGAAAGAAATAATTTAAATACATACAACATAGCTAAATGCTATGGAGAAAAATAAAAGCAGGGAAGTGGTACGGGAAGGGCTGCGGGCACATGATTTTAGGTAAGGTAATCCTGGAAGGCCTCAGTGAGGAGGTGACATTTCAATACAGAACACGCATGCTAGTAATCATTACTAGCATTCTGTTGCAGGTGTGGGAATCCAACAGCCAAGTTACCCAGCCTTGTTGGAGCCTCCTGGCTGATTTATTAGAGGCATCCCCTCCCTACCCTCCCCCACACTCGGCTTCTTTCCAGGAGCCCCTGTGTGCAATGGGACCTGCAGATACCTCAGGGAAGACTTCAGGTGGCCCTGATCACGGAGGGGCTGCTTTGAGTGCGTGTGTGCAATGTGATGTTGGAGTAGCCATTCTTTCCCAGGTGTGAGTGTGAGTGTGAGAGTGTGTGTGTGTTTATACATGTCCGATTGACCTGGGACCACCGTTGGTCTCCAGTGCTCACTCTGCTCTTCGGTTCTTTTGCCAGTAAAATGGGGGTGTCAGCAGTGACCTTCGAGCTTAGACCTTTCTGTTCTTGCAGACACCTGACAGGCCGATCAGATCCGCTTGCCCTGGAATTAGGACACAGGCGGGAGCTGCCACGCAAATGGCTGCTCCCCCAAGTGGAACCCGCACACAGACCACCTTGGAGCCTCTTTAAAATGCAGATTTCAGCAGCTCTGGGTGGGGCCGAGACGGGATATCTAACAAGCTCCTGGGCAGTGGGCATGGCCCCCAGCCACACTTTGAACCATGAGCATCTGAAATCCTGAATGTATTTCTAGCTTCTGGTGTTGATCTCTTTGAGATCTAGCAGCATCCTTGCCTCAGTCCTCAGTGGCTCCCTATTTCTCCTACATAAAAA